CCCCCGCCGTACATCGCGCTCCCCCCCAGTCCCCCCCAGTGCCCCCCAATCCATCCCAGTCCCCCCCAGTACATCCCAGTGCCCCCCAGAACTCGGGGTGACCCCCCAGGACATTCCAGTGCCCCCCAGTACATCCCAGTGCCCCCCCAGAACTCGGGGTGACCCCCCCCCTCCCAGGACACCCCCGTGCCCACCCCGGGGACTGGGGGCTCCCCCGGACTCCTGGGGGTCCTCACCCCGATTTTGGGGGTCCCCACCCAGTTTTTGGGGTGTCCCCACCAACCCTGGGGTGCCCCTCTAGTTCTTGGGGTCCCCCCAACAGCTGGGACCCCCCCCCGGCTTTGGGGTCCCTCCCAGGTGTTGGGGTCCCCTCAAACACCTGGATCCTGCCCCCCCAAAATTTGGGACCCCCCCCGGGGTTGTGGGGGGTCTGCAGGACTCGGGGGAACCCCCCCCGGACACCCCAGTGGCCCCCAGAACTTGGGGTGACCCCCCCAGTACGTCCCAGTGCCCCCCAAACTGGGAACAGGACCCTGCCCAACCCTGGGGGCTCCCCCCAAAACCCCTGTGCCCCCACCCCCACTTTTGGGGTTCCCCCCGTTTTTGGGGGTCTCACCCTGTACAGGAGGCACTGGGGGGCCCTGCTGTGTCCCCCCCCATTTTTGGGGTCCCCCCCAGGTTTTTGGGGTCTCTTTGAGGGTCTCACCCTGTACAGGAGGCACTGGGGGTCCCTGCTGTGTCCCCCTCTATTTTTGGGGTCCCCCCCCAGGTTTTTGGGGTCTCTTTGGGGTCTCACCCTGTACAGGAGGCACTGGTGGTCCCTGCTGTGTCCCCCTCTATTTTTGGGGTTCCCCCCAGGTTTTTGGGGTCTCTTTGGGGTCTCACCCTGTGCAGCAGGGGCTGGGGGTTCTCCCTGTGTCCCCCCCATTTTTGGGGTCCCCCCCAGGTTTTTGGGGTCTCACTCACCCTGTGCAGGATCGTGGCCAACAAAAGGGTTCTCCCTGTGCCCCCCCCTAGTTTTGGGGTCCCCTCCAGGTTTTTGGGGTCTCTTTGAGGGTCTCACCCTGTGTAGGAGGCACTGGGGGTTCTCCCCTTCATTTTTGGGGTCCCCCCCAGGTTTTTGGGGTCTCTTTGGGGTCTCACCCTGTGTAGGAGGCACTGGGGGTTCTCCCCTTCATTTTTGGGGTCCCCCCCAGGTTTTTGGGGTCTCTTTGGGGTCTCACCCTGTGTAGGAGGCACTGGGGGTTCTCCCCTTCATTTTTGGGGTC